ACGTGGAGTATGTAGAGTTTGAAATCATTTTATTATAATATTGACACTGAGATATTTTCTTAGTTTTTCAAGATCAGGACAATAGCTCTGGTCGCCTATGCAATCTGGCAATGCCATGCTTGTATGTACACAACCGTATCTTCCCAGTTCGTGCTTTCGGGATCGAGTACAGTAAGGGCAGGCGCAGGGAGTCAGGAACAAGCGCTCTTTTCAGGCCCATTCGAGCGACACAATTCATGAAATCATAAGCAGAAGTTTGTGCCAAATCCCCGGCTGGTCTCCTGTTTGAGAAAGCACAGGTACACAATACATGGACACCAGCTATAATCCATACACAGAGCTCAACACTAATCCTTTCAAAACACACAATAGTATGAATTACATCTTTTTTTTCTTGGCTCTTTCTTTTAAGTTGCGTTTCAGAGAACAAAAGCATTTGGTTACGCGCTCAAGGTTATTTCTCATTTCAGCTTGCCAGTTCAGTTTATGATGGAAGCCAGGACAAATCATATTAGCGTTTATCTAAAGAACACGAAACCTTTTGGCTACTTTTGAATGTGGTTGTGCCAACAAACATTATTAAGAGGGAAGAAAAATGCTTTTAGAAACCTCTGCCTCCGCTGAGAATATAAATTAGTTCCTTCATGTGGCCTCCATCATGGATGAGCTGTGATTTGGAAGCTGTTGGCATTCTGACAGACGATTACTATTTTAATGTAAAACAAGCCCAAGAAGGCAGCTCAAATGACTGCTTTGTTATGAAATAAATGTCACTGGTAACAAAGTTTACAGAGATGCATTTGTCTACAGCTTCACACAGTCAAGGGTCATAGCTGCAGCCTGTCAGGAGTGACAAAAGCCGAGGACGGAACCAGGGTGGAAGTAATTAAACAAAAAAAGATGAGCTGATCTCCTTGCATCCGTTGTTCTGACCAAAAAAGGACCAGGAGGCAGATTTTCATGACTCCACCCGATCCACTGTGTAGAGAGGCTCAGAGAGCACATAGTCGGTACTGTGCTTCACCCAGACTGGTGCTGTACTTCAGTGGGTCTCATCCTTTATACTGTACATGATACACTGGGATTCTTAGAGATCAGAAGCTCTACATAGAGACTAAATAGCTTGATATGCTACAGTGCCCATTCACAATGACAAGTCACTCTCAAGGGTTAAGTCACTCAGGTAAAGCACAATATAATTTCAATTGGATAAAAACTATGAAACCTCGACATTTGCATTTCTTCTCGAAATGTTTACTGTTGTCATATAATCTCCACTGCAATACCATGCGATTATGAATTACATCATCTCAGAATCAAGGTACTGCTTAGTAGATCGTAAAATTGTCTATCGATCCAGTGAAATGCCCATGTTACCACTTTAAGATTTAACTCATGTTATTACTGTAGTACACACTGAAATTAAAGGCTTGAAAACAACATCTTACAAAAATGACAAAAACACCCATAGCAGTTTTTACAGATTTCTTTTTTGAAGCTAACAGGGTGTGAACGCCCCAGGCAGCACTTGTGTGGGACTGAGACTTATTCATCAGATGCTGCCTTTTATTCCTGCAGTTGATTCTGAAGCCGCAGAGAAGAATGCTTCTCGGTTATGAAAGGATGAATGAAAAGGTGCCAAAATAAAAATAAAAAATTGTCCACCTCGTGCTTGCTCAGTTACATCACTCAATCGTCTTTCAATCGCACGACACCAGCCACCGAATTGTAAGTTTTAAAAAATGACTTTCCTTTATCTAACGTGATACCTGGCAGGTTTATGCATACCTCCTCAAAAGGCAAGTAGAACCATTAGATCAGGCAATTCAGAAACAGCATTAATCTTTCTTCTTTATCTCCTGACACATGAACCGGGCACACCCAGGCCTTGAACCAGCTCTGCTCTCCGCTGATAATATCTGTGCCAGGGGACAGGCCTGCCCAGAGCTCCCTATTAACACAGATATCAGAGCTCTTTGCTAAAAGGCAACAATTTGGACTGACTGTGAACTGAAACCCTACTTCTTGCTGACAATCTGCCTGATTGTAGTCAAATGCCAAAAGAGAGAAAACAGCTCAGCAATCACTGCAGACAAGCACCCTGAGGCACTAGACAACAAAGAGATGTGAACTGGAGCGCTGAACGGAGAAGGTAGTCAAAATCATTGTAATGTCAACAAAACTCAAATGGTTTCTTCATTTTGCGTTGAAAATAACAAGCATTTAAAAAAAAAAGAAATCCATTGATGTTCAAATTTATGTTATACACAAATACAAGGTACAAAACAATCCCTGGAATATAAAATTATATCCCATGATATGAATACATACCATATTATGAAATAGAATGGAGACTAAATGTTGGTTGTATTTAAAAATGCTATTTATACTCTTTTCATCTCTTTTCATTTCCTATATACTGTTGTGTAAAAAGCTTAGTCGCTGCCAAATTCTACTCCTTTCACTTGTGTTTGCCCAGTAACATTTTCTACTGTGATTTTAACCATTTTCTTTTATGCTAACAGTTCACCCGGATAAATCTGTATCTGTGCAGTGGAGAAAGTGATTTTCACAAGTGTAGAGAGAAACAAATGATGTCAATGAGTCAGATAGATCTGATTGGTGATATTGATGGATTTACTACTACAGCTCTTCTTACTGGCTGCTCCTGTGCATTTTACCCACAGATGCTGTGTTGGCATTTTTGAAGACTGCAATCCATGAAACAAATCGTTGGCTAAATGACAAGCTGAGTTTCTGCTTACCCAAACCAAGCTGTATTTAATGGAGTTCATAACAGAAGTTCAAGAGAAACATTTGAACCTCATATCGCACACTCCCCTTCTCCTAAAAGCTCCCACCAAAGATTTCTGTTCACATATCTGTCTCACTGCGATGGACTGCCATTCCCTCAGCTGGGTGAGTCACACCAGCTACTCTCTACATATGTCATCCTTCTGTAACAGTCTAACTGAAGTGCTGAAATATCTTTGTAATAATAACAGGTCACTCTGTGGGATACTGTGAGTGAGTCTGTGATTCACATATATATATATACTTTAATTCTTGATTGTATCTATGCAAACAATGTATATGCAGTATGTAAGATGTGTGTTTCCATTGGCTGTTGCTGGAAGTAAAAGTTTGAGAAAAAAAATTACACCTCTTCAATATTTTGCTCTTCTATTTCTGAGGAATTTCTCCTGGTATTTTAGCACCTGCACACCAGAAACGGAAACCTGCATCCCCTAACAATTACGGGGAGAAGTCAGAACCCGAGCTAAAAAACATCTTTCCGAGTTCCAGGTTCTTCGGTCCAGGGCACAGCGCTACAGGGGAGCCCTGAGCAACTCTGGGTCTGAGACATTCTGACGCAGAGCACTACTTCATGATCTGCAGCGAGATTTTCAACTGCCCTGAATACGTACATCGTGAAAGATCATGACTGCTGTACAACACCATGGAAAAAGCAGACAATTCCCATGCCAGAAATATTCTATTAAGACATCTTATGGATAAAATCGAGAGTTTAACATGGAACCCAAATGAAAGATCTCCGTACAGAAGGATCCCACTCCATCCATTGCGTCTGTCCATCTCCTTCCTCACCTAAACATCATTGGAACCTCAACCTCATTCCTGCGAAACTATCTTTACAATAAGCTTCTCTAAGGAGGGAGGGGGGTGTCACTCAGTGGGATTTAAATGTAAAGATAACGCAGAAGCCATAATAGACAACAGGCTGTGAGCACAGTCTTTTTCTGGTGTGGTGATGAGATGAAGGAGGGGTGAGAGTGGGGGGGGTGGAGCACCAGTATATTTAACTAGGACTTAGGGTGCTTGTCTCCCTTTGCTTTTAATCAAACCTGTTGATCGGGCCAGATTAGTGCATTCTGCGCCGGTTGAGCACATTTGGTGGTTTATACCCTTGATCTCTGTTTAAGGAGGCTTACTTGTCTCTGTTTGAGGTGGCTTACTGCCACAGATTAGGCGAGCCCCTATTTTATTCACATCGTTCCAGCCCTGTGGAAGCGACACCCCACTCTGCTCTTTTCCCAGTGAGGTTGCCAGTCTTGACATTACAGCCTGCATGAGCAGTGATCTCATGCCCACCCCAATGCACCTGTCCTCCGATCCTGAGAGAGCTGGGAGCTCATTGCTGAGGTCCAGATAAACTGCCACCACCCATGCACAATCGTCCAGAGGCACTATGTTTTATCAAAATGCACCAAGATACCAGATAGTGTCGCGTGTTTTAAAAGTCTGCCTACACCCTACGTACCCATGATAACACCATTGTAGAGACTCAAACTCAAGTAATACAAGTGCTTCAGACTTTTGTTCAAAAAGGTAGAAGAGGTACATCAGTACTCATTATAATATATTACTTTTGTCACAGAAGAGGTGACAATATGCATTCCGTTTTGGGGTACTATCATCAATACATACATGCCTGTTGTTTTGGGGAAATGGCTGCAATTATGAATGCTATTCTGTAGTCGTTATTTAGCCTCTGTGAAGACGCTATGCTAGCTGTATAGCACTGCGTTCAAATAAATGGCCTGCCGCCATTTTGCACGTATTGAAATGTAAAAACAATAAGAAGTGCTGCTCATATCTTGCGTACCTAGCTACCAAGCAGTTATGCAGAATCTGGGAGCATCAGTCATGCCAATGAGTAAATCATTATCTTAATCAGGGGTCTGCGCGCGTTGCATTTGATTTATCTTTTAAAACAGGGGCAGAGTGAGAAACATCAAAGGGGAACTGGGATGCTGCTAATTTTCAGCCCGGGCGAACGTGGAGGAGTGTTTGGATTTGCGCCTCTCTGCACTTCAAAGGGCGGCGCCTTTAAAGGTCTGGGTTTATTTTGACATGGATTTGCCGAGGTGAATGAGAATCAAGCACCCGCTCCAGACACTAAAGAACTCCGACTCCTTCCCTCACAAAAAGAAAGAAACACGAGAAAATTCAATAATGCCTCCGAGAGGGAGGATTACCTGAGGAGATGGTGCAGACATCTACAGTGCGCAGCTCAGGGCAAACTCTCAAGTGCCCTCTACAGAAAAAGTCTAAAAGACGGTACTCAAAATGCACATCAAAACGTGACTTTGAAGCAATGGGAGGCAATTAACCCCGTGAGCTCAAAATTACCAATTGCTGCGATGTGGCACTTTAAAAAAAAAAGGGAACATCTTTAATGAACTGATGGAAATGTGAGACAACCTATTTATGTCAGTCTCTGAGTTAAGTAGGATAACCCCCACGAGAAGCGTCAGCTCCACCGCAGGAAATGTTTGCGATACATTATTTGTTCTTCTTCCTACTTCTGAAGAACACACGAACAGCACAGAACAAAAAAAAAAACAGGCGTTCTGGCTCCGTCAGAATTTTAATTAAGCCGCGCAGCACAAAGCGTGATGAGGTTTTCCCCAAATTTTAAACGGGTTGCAAATACATTTTTCTCACACTTGTGTTTTTTTTTCTGGGGTTTTATTCCCCTAAATGCAACTGAAGCAAATGCAATAAAACGTAATTTTGAAATATAAACCCAAATCCAAAACCCAAACGAAAAAGGCCTTTCAATTTGACGTTGCACATATGCATACACCTGTGAGCACAGGTGAACTGGATTTCATTTTGATTCCTATTTGGTCAGTGTCGTTCGTCTTTATCGTTCACTTTTCAATATTTGCGTTTTTCAAATACATTAATTCTTCCTTGCTGTTGTAAAAAGCCTTTCTGGTATTTTACGGAACATAACGTAAATTCAAGAATCTTGTTATTTCGCCACTTCGTCTAATCTCTTCAAAGAATCGCGCTAATTGGGGTTACGATGATTGCAGGACTAGCGGTACACCTCCAGAAGTAGCTCTTAAAAGTCTCAGAAGGACTTATCCTCCGGAAGCACAAATTCACTCTGCTCCGGGGTGATATTGTGGGAACGGTAGCTCTGCTCGCTCAGTCAAAGCTGAACAAGCAAATGGAAAAGCAGACGTGTGCCTTCACTTGTCTTTGTTTATTAATCTGCAGGTGTTCGAGAAAAAGGAGTGTTTCCATACATAATTACTTTTCCACCGTGTCACCGAGGCGAGAGCACACCGTCGTGCCGTGATCACCATTCACACACGACTCCCAGCTCAGCCATCAATACCTGCCTGCTTCCGCGACAAAGACCAAGGGAATCGTGCTCAGTCAACACCCCAGGCTGTGAGCTGTACAATTATGAGGGAAACATTGTTTCACCAACAATTTTGTATCTTTTACTGAAAACCCATGATTCATTTCACAGAAGATTTATCACGCCTTAATCCTGCAGGATAAAGTTAAGATTCTGATCTTTTCAAGATATTGTTTTATGGAGGGATTTAAACCAGTTCTCCCACAGCAGACGCCAAGATTACACAGTGATTATAAGCAACTCAATATTGTATGACAGCCCTTCCGTGTGAGGGACTTACAATCATGTTTCATTAATTCGGCTTGAACGAAGCCTCATTTCAAGCCTTGAGAAGCTTAAGATTTATGTGAAATTAATAACATAACAGATGTCTTCACAATTTAGTTCCTCTGAAAAAAAAAAACTGATTACCTCAAAAACTTCAATGCTTTAAAATGCAGACAGAGGAAAGCTATACTCCTGGGCAAAATGTTATTCATTTAAATCATTCATACCCAAGGACTACCAGGAATTAAAATGTCAGATTTATATTAAAAGTGGTATTCAACCCTGTTACATTGTTATAAACAGAAGCGCGCTACACTTTCATATTAATAAGCTGTGTGTTCGATATTTAAGCTTAACGTGTACAAAGATAAAATCTATCTTTTGATAATCACTTTGAGAAAAAAAGCAAGGCTCTGGGGAGCATAGAGGAGAATATGCAGGAAGCTTTGTTTCTGATAATTTAATCATTTTTTTTTCCTCAAAGGAAAACAAAATGCATCTTTGCTTGCACAAATTTCAACACTTTATAAAAGATCTGGGGCTGTCTCCACCGCACAGAACAGCCTCAGGCCAAATGCTCTTCTTTCTCTGTGCTGAATAAGGTGCTTTAAGCACTGACTTATTTCAAAATTCAATTCCTTTATCTTGGCTCTGGCAACACTAGGTGCTTTACAAGATGAATTTTAACGCATGCATGAGTAAGGTTTATCTCTTCCCAGATTGTCTCTGCTATTGCCTCTGAAAGTAAGAAACAATAATTGAAAGAAAAATTATCTCTTAGCTTGCTTTTTGATCCGATATGCTGAAGGGCATGAAGCACAATACTTTCTTTCTAATTTTTTTATTATTTTTTTTTATTCAAACATTCAAATGCAGGCGATCGGGCAAGCTCTATAACAGTTTATGTATGCAGATTTATCACATTAATTCTGGAAAATTGACATGACATATGCCTATTACAAGCAGTGGATTATTAGAATATTTGCAGCAATGAGCTTTTTGATTGCAGTGGAGATGGTTCACTTAACATCTGAAATATGCAATTCTACTCCATTTTTAAACCAACAGCTTTGTGTTACTTGTTCTTTTTTTCCAAACTGCTGCCTTTGTACCTAGCTAGCAGATTTTTGGATGAATTGTTTTAAGAATGGATTACAAAGAATTAGGCAAGTCCTTTAGTTTAGGCACACTGCGAGGAGGCAAATATTTTCATTTGCACTATGGCTGTACCAGCAAGTGGCTTTATAAAGGCAGGAACCATTTATACAGCACCAACGCATGGGCATTCTCTAAAGTGATGGAACAGGGACCGATCTGTAAGCCCCTCTGTCTTTGATTGTTAAACTGAGCTCTCCTGCAGTTTGTGGTTATGAAACAGAGAGACGCTGTTCAAAGGGCGTCTAAGAAAAGTGAAAATATCCAGATGGATGTTGAGCTTGTGCCCTGCGGACTGTCTGGAAGGCGGGGGCTCAAACCATTCCAGCACACTGTAAAAGCTCCTTGGAAAGAGTTAAAATGGGGAGCCTCACCCCTGAATTGGACTCAACGGTGCATCACTCATGGGGCCCTGCCACTCAGTGGGTCCCCTACCTACCCTCATTCATTTCCTTTTTTTTTAATTATATAATGTTAGCATGCCCAAAGGGGTTGGGCAGCCAGTTGACCTTGGACCCCTAGAGGATTTCTTTCTCCTTACTAAGGAGTTTTTGGTTCCTCTCCTCCGTTGTCTTCTGGTCTTCTGTTCTGTATTGACAACATGTATGGTTACTTGCGTTGTTAAGCGCCTTGGGGCAACCTTGTTGTGAAAGGCGCTATATAAAAATACATTGAAATGAATATGTAACACTCAGAGGGACCCTTTGGGATAGAAAAGAGCCGTAGGGATGCAATGGAGTGCTTCATTTCACTACTCTTCATCACATCTGGATAAGCTAAACTGCTCCATTCAGTCAGTGGGTTGAGCTGTGGAACAACCGACACTGCTTTGCTTCCAGTGTAAACTGGGATATAACAAAAGTACAAAAAGATTCAACTAAAGATAAAACTAAAGTACATCAAAATAAAACTGCTTGTGTAGGCATGTGAATACAGAAAAAAAAGAGATGATCCTCTGTATAATATAAAAGTTAATATTAATGGTAAAGACCTTACATGTACATTTGGAACATGATCATAAAAAGGAGAAACACCTCTGAACTGGACTCCGTTGCTAGCTGCTAAATAAATATCACTACATGTGCCTTTGACTCCTTTAGTTCATTTTTCTATGTTTAGTCATTTGTCAAACATATTACATACAGTATCTTTAGTCAAAATCTGGATTTGAGTTTTGAGTGGCCCTCTCTGTTATAGCTCTACTGTAGTTCTTTCCTTCAATCGGTGGCTAGATAGAGCATTTTTGATGTTTAACACGCTGAAAAATGATTCACTGTTGTATAAAAGGGCCGTTTTGAAAAGTCTAATTTTCAATAGTTGCTCGGTGGAATTCAATTAAATATTCTCTCTTCTTTCCTGTCGTCCAGCTGTAGATTTCTATTTTCGCTGCCTTGTTTCAGCTCGATTGTTGGAGCTGATTCGTTCCGTCAGGCTGCCCAGCGTCTGAATGACGAACAAAAACCACCATTCGTCTTTTAGCAAATGAGAGTTGCTATGAAATTTAAAATCTTTGAGAGGCCTAGAAAGTCATCTATTAGACGAAAACAAAGAAAACAGAGGGATTATTAACATGGATGTTGCTGTAATGCATAATTTAACTCTTCTCAATAGCTCATCTGGGAGCACGTGGTTCTAAGGAATCCTAAGCACTCCAATAATTTGAAAATGAGACAAAAGTTTTATTAGTTCATTGTCAATTCAAAAATGAATCAATGTACAGATAAAGCATTGTGTCATTAAACATTTTTATACATATATATATTGAACTCTATTTTGCTTTCAGTATGAGCCCTGTGTAAAAATAGGCAATCCCTTCTGAATAATAGAATCCAAGTTAATAAGCTAATAAAATAAAAAAATGGCTCTGGGACATTACAGAGCATAAATGAAAAGCCCTGAAATAGTTTCTAATTCAATCAAAATCTGAAAACCTTTCAAAGGTCTTGTTGCTTTCTTTTTTGCTGCTCAACACTCCAGTGAGTCTATTATCCAGGAAACTCGCACTGAAAACTGCCCGTGTCCTGTGAAAGTAATGCATGTGTTAGAACGACCTTCAGTTCATTACAACTGGTTTGTCTATTTTTTAAAACCCAAGAATGTAGGAAATCATGGCGACAATGTGTTGTACAAGGCTTCACACCACTCACACCCAAGTCAGGAGGACCTTGTGGTCCCACACTTCAGAAACTGGGCAGATGTCTGTGTTTATTTTATTGTTCATGAGGAATATTTCATTTCTCTGGCTGGTGGTAACAGTGTTTTGTAGTTGTTGTTTTGATATTTCTCCTAAATATTTACTTCTGCACATGTATTTGAAATTTAAACTTACTGAAGAAAGGAAGTTTCGGAGCAACAGAACTGACAAAGCTGATAATCACATTCCAACACTCTCAGCTTCCCGTTAAACCATTGTTATTGATTTTTATTGATTATCGACTGATTATTTCAGGCCGTAAACGTTATTGGACCCTTCTGAGTCTAGGATTTACCTACTGCACAAAGGTTCTGGCTGTGACGAACTCATAAGTATTTGTATAAAAATCACCAAAGAATATTCCACTCCATTACATTAAACAGGACAAGAATAAAACCAAAGCTCACACAAAAACCCAGTCCCTTATCATCGCAACTGGCACGATCTTTAGAAATATAAGACAGGTTTCCAAAGGAAAGGAGAAAGATGTTAAGGGGGGCAATTGAAAAAGTAAAGAACGGTAAAAAAATGCATCCTTCATGAAAGGCAACCCAACAATATATAAAAAAAATGTTTTGCAGTCCTAAAAACATTTTGGCAGTCATGTCCTACTGATACTTAATTAGTTTCTATCCTGGAGGCTCTGTGAACTGTTTTGGAGAAAGGACTGGGGGGAGTCTTATCTCTGTCAAGGTGTTCATTTACTAATAAATGGAGGGTAAGAAGAGAATTATATTGATGTGATAGCTGTGGTCAGGGCCTGAGGGGAGATCTCCGCCACAGAGAGTGGAAGGGCTGGCCTCTCTCCAGCGTTAACTGTAGTTATTGCACTCATCCCATGAAGAGAACATCCATCTCCTGCTCTGCTCTGACACTTCATTTATTCCCACATTCATTTGTCATGTCCCCAATCACGAAAATGAATAGAAACTTTCTGGCATGATGGATAGTGTTTCTAATTAAGACTAAAGAAGAGATCTGGACTCAAGTAGAGCTGCGATCTTTCTCCTCTTTTCTTTTTGTTCTTTCTAATAAGAAAGCGAGCATAGCCAAGTTCGTGAGTAATGTCCCTTGAAGACATCCGCTGTCTGCTGGAGGTCATTTGACCTTGGCTGGGGGGGGAGGAAGAAAGGGGAGGCAGTTTTAAACCCAAGATGTTTTTTCTGGTTTGTTTGTTTGTTTGGTATGTTGTTCGAAACACAGACCACATGGTGCTGAAAAATGCTTTTGAAGAAATCTCCTAAGAGATCAGCCATTCAAATAGGACAAATTAAATGACCATGTGAGAGAGGATGGGGCCACTTTTCATCACGAAACTGCAGCATTGTTTTACATTAAAGAGCCAATGAAGATTTTCACTGGTGTGGCTTACAGTTAATATACAACATATTTCCCCAGTGCCTAAAGTGCTTTGAGGATTTCTCTTTCGCATTCCAAGTCATTTTTGCTAACGTTTTGGTCTTCAATTTACAACATATCATAGACCCAAAAGTTTTTAACATAATATGTTAATGGTTTTTAATATCATTACCGCGTCAGCTTCCATGTTTTGGAATGAATCTGTAATCGCTGGGAAACGTGCAATGTGTCTCTCTCAAACAGCGGTTTCAGGTGCAGTGCCAGGCACTCACAGCAGAAGATACAGGCCAGGCCCAAAGCAACATCTGAGAGGTAGTCTGTCCTCTCTTGGCTGCAAAGAAAACAAAAGAAGATGCTGAGGAAATGCAGTTCTCGTTCTCATCATTAAACCATATTATCTTAAGGTGTCACTAAAACCTTTACTCGATTCCAGGAGTGGTACCTCCTTGCCACCTTCTAACACGAGATCTCAGGAGCCCAGCCCAGCCCAGCCTGGTCAGTACAGGGATAGGAGAGCTCTAAAGAAACCCAGGTTGCTGCTGTAAGCAGTGGTGGTCCAGTAGGTGGCGCTCTTCCCCCTTCCAAACCAATGCACTAATATGGTGACAGAGGACAATGTGCTGTCCTTTGAATCTGACATCTTAACTATTTGATCTTTAAAGATCCCATAGCACTAAACATAAGAGTAGAGGTATTAACCTCAGAGTCCTAGCCTCAATATACTGTATTTTGGGCTTGTATAATCTAGCTTTAACAAAGTTTCCCATGCAATTTCTTACATCCCCCACCTGACGGTCTGTGCGGTGGGGCTGCTGATGCAGAGTAGATGTTGTGTGTCACCCACATGAGAACTGCACTGCAGTAGTGGATGAAGCCCCTTATTCCATGGGTGAAGAGCTCAATGTAATTATCGATAACTAGGTACACTACATAGCCAATCTGCATTGCCAAATCCCCTCTCTTTTCATCTGGCAATTAAACTTCAACAGCTGCACTTTTTTTATGGATTCAAAGTCAGCGTTACACAGTATGTAACTCACATGTGTTGCACGTGTTATTTGCCACAGACAGGATATCAACAGCACACCGTATCCACAGGTAGCAAAGATTCCACAAGCCTGTTCCTGAGCTCATCTTTTCCCAAGCCTCACAGCTGGGAGCCAGGAGTCTGCGGGGGGAGATGATGCTCCAGGTGTTCGGCAGGGTCCTCAAGCAGACCAAAACCAAGCAAAAGCAGCAAACACAAGCCTGCTACTTATCTCTCCCTCCATATGGTGCATGCTGCAGATCCAGGAGAGGTCGTTATTGAATCAGGCAGAGGTAATAGGCCCGATTATACAATGTTAATGTGCTATACTGGGGAATATGTAGAGGTTTTCTTGAAGACTGGAGGTATGTGTGGGGATTAATAGAGCTCAGAAATGAATGAAAGCATGAACTCAAGCATTAGCAATGAGAGGAAGAACAGGCAGGCCCAGAACTTGAAAGTTAATCATTTCAGAAGGTATGGAGAGGCAGGATAATATTAGAGAAAAGAAGAGTATTTACGGAATTAAACAGAGTGTGACGCGCGGGCTTTGTATTTTCAACATGCCAGAAGAGGGGAAGAATTGACAGTATCTGGGACATTAACAGCAGAGAAAAAAAATCAATTACTGTGAAATGATCCACACTACTCCCTGGCCATCCAATCCAAGCAATAGGATAAACAAGCCTTTTAGACTTCTTTCCATTATTGCATTACAGATCATTACAAATAATAAAGATAATTATGTGTTAAAAGATAAATCTGCGCATTCTGTCAAAATTAACAAAGATGGAAATTACTCCTTTAAAACTATCTCTAAGGTCTTGCCAGTCAAATATATATATATATTTTTTAAATATCAATGCTGAGAACTGACCTCCAAGAGCCTCATTTTGAGATAGAGGTCGCAGATTACAATAACATCAACCGCTTTAGGTTAAGCGCCATCCTTATTCACAAAGTTCATGGCTATAAAATGCAGAAATAAATATGACCTCTACTGAGCTGTTTTGTAACCTGCTATTTTTCCTCTGACGGAGCATTCCCTGAGCAATTGTGACATGATGGGACAGGAGCTTGCTGAGAGTGACACATGGAAACACTACGCTCGGTAAACTAGGGATCAGAAGGGCAGGTGGTGCAGTTTTCAACACACACCTTCGGTCTGCTTTTTAAGTTAGCGCTCAGATCTGCTGTTACTGCTACAGAGGGCTTATCACATATCTTTACATAAATATTTATGGGCCAACCTAATGTCTATGTTCATAACTAGTCATTTTCGAATTGTAATAAAATAACACATCCACAGTATAAAATCATTGCACAAGGGTATAAAGCATGTCAGTGAATCCATTTTTTAAAAAATATCTGCCATATCGCTCTGCAACTCACAACTAGTAACCCCCTGAAGTTAAGCAGGTGTGAGCCTGGTCAGTACCTGGCTGGGAGACCCCCTGGGAAAGCTAAGGTTACTGCTGGAAAAGGTGTTAGTGTGAACAACAGGGGGTGCTCACACTGTGGTCTATGTGGGTCCTAATGCCCCAGTAAAGGTGCCGTCCTGATGATCTGTGGTTGTTAAAAATCCCAATGTTTTTTTCTAAAAAAAAGTAGGGGTGTTACCCCAGTATCCTGGCCAAATTTCCCCCTGGTCTTTACCAATTATGGCCTCCTAATAATCACCATCTATGAAATGGCTTCATCACTCTGCTCTCGTCCCCACTGAGAGCTGGTGTGTGGGGAGCGCACTGGCGCACTATGGCTGCCGTCACATCATCCAGGTGGTGCTGCACACTGGTGGTGGTGGAGGGGATCCCCATTACCTCTAGAATTCTTTGAGTGGTGTGTCCCGAAAAGTGCTATATA